CTAACTGATCCTCCGTAGCGTCAGCATCCAACATCAAGTTATAAATCTCTTGATTGGCGTGTCGTAGAGATTCAGCTTTATCATGAAACAGCTCTAAATTGGCACGAATGGAATTAATGTCTGGTGATTCTGCTTCTATCATCTCAGTCAACTTATTTGCGATCGTCGTGAACGCCCTACGTACCGCTGAACGCGACTTCGTTGCCCGATCCATATCTTTAAAGCGTAGTCGTACAAACGAAAACGATACACAAATCGTTTAAAAATCAGCCTAAAATGTTAACAATCTTATTGCAGAGAGATTTTACACAAACCCCTTGTCCTGTCACGGTCGCCAAATGTTGAAAATAACTTTTAAGAAGATTTAGGCTTCGCAGAATGATACAAATTTTATTATTAAAAAATATTATTAATTGACAGACTTTTACTCACTTGATAAATTAAAAATTACAATATCATGAATCATTTACAACAAGTATAATTGTGTGACGGTTGCCTTTATTTAAAAGTCCTGAGAAAGGAGATTATTTTATTGTGAAAGTGGTGTTTGGTTAAATACTTGGAATCGCCGAAAAAGACGGGGCTGCTGCAGACTAACTGCTTCGCGAAGGGTGGAAAACGTGTACGTTTCTTTACGCTTTTTATTTTATTCGGGCTGTCCGATTTGATTAGTTGAAGACAGATTTTGCATTATAACAATTTTGTGTACGATTGATAGGCAACCTTATCTCCAGATAATTAAATTAATCTTTTAGAGAAATAAACGAAATACCCAATAAATCAACTCTGAACTGTCACAAATGAATTAACAAAACAAATTGATAACGAAAAATTGAGATAAAAATTTTCCTATCCCTAAGAATTCCAGGAAATATCTTTTTACAGAGAAAATAAATAAACAAACACCTTGGATACCCAGGATACAGGCTAGATCGTTTTGTGATTATCAGTAAGGAATCCTACGAGATTAATTTGATGAATTGAAATGAACATTTGATTAGGAATTGAACAACCTGTATTCACCTCAGGTGACCCACCGAAAGAAGCTACCCAGGTCGGTGTAAGGACGATCGACTGGAAAGTAGCTGCCAGGGTGGTTACTGTGGGATCTCTGCGATGGGCGGTCAACACGTTCAGCCCATTTTAGAGTGCAGGACCGGATGGGATATTCTTACGTTTGTTGCACCTCGTTAGAATCTCCCTGACTGAGGTGGTAAGAGTTGTGTAGGTATGTACCCAAGTCTAATCAGGTCAAACAAGACATGGCGAAGGATTACAGAGCGATCGGCCTATCATCGTTTCTTCTAAAAACTGAGAAACTGAGTCATCATAGACTCCTGGCTACCCTTGAAAGGGCACATTGAGCAAATAAGCAAAAATGCCACTCCATGTCTAGGGTTTTTGGATGTACATGGGGTGCGAACCCTGGACTGGTATATTTGCTTTACACTGTAGTGATAAGGTCAATAATACGGTACGGTGCATTTGTATGGTGGTGTCCAGGAAGCAGCTACGTAAGGTACAGAGACTCGCCTGTCTGGGGGTTACTGGAGCCATGAAAACCACGCCAAATTGGACCATGGAAGCACTTCTGGGACTAGAGCCTTTACACTGAACTGCGGAGTCAGAGGCTTGGAAGGCTTTCATATGACTAAACGATTGGGACCTGTGGAAGGATCGAGGCAGCATTGGGCACAAGCGGATCTGGGAGGAAACCCTCAAATCCGATTCCATCTTCGCAAGATGGATGTCATCCGGGCTGAGTTGAGTTGAATTCAGATCGACTGTTCATCAAACCTGAGGGCCTTGTATGGTTTACAAACGGGTCCTTAACGGAAAGGGGAACGGGCATGGTGATCGACCGGGACCTGACATCAGCTTCTCCCTTGGCCAGTGTGTTTCAGGCAGAGTTTCAGGCATCATGACCTGTGCATAGGAGAACCTCCGTAGAGGTTACCATAATAAGCAGATTTAAGTGTGCAGTGCTACATCGCTTGATTGCAGGTGAACTCTAGATAGATTAGGTGAGTCTAATATGGTAAAATTGATCTGGGTGCCAGCGCGCTGTGGGATAGGGAGCGAATGGCGTTCTGAACAGGGCCCCTTCACAAATTTGAGTCTACTAAGTTTCTAAAATTGAATGGAAGGCAGATTAGGAAGATCATAGGTGTCCTCACGGGGAAATTAAACTAGCAAGAAACGACGTTTCATGATAATGTTGTGTATGCAACCCCAAAATGTTTGTGTACTGTTATACTGTCTGCATTTGTTGTTTTTTTCGTTTCCAAATATAATTTTCACTAATTATGAAAGCAAATAAACTGAACGCCGACTATTTTATTCGAAAATTTTCACAACTCAGTAAATAATGTCACCTTTTTACCTTGCATAGGGCTTCCACGAGCCACCAATAAGTGACTCAAGGCTTATATTCAATAGTTTAGCTTCATTTTACGGATACTCGTGGTAGTTGAAGAACTGAAGTAAAAGTGATATACGATAAATCATCCCCAATTCTATGTTCAAGGTCATTTTTTACCAAAAGACTTGTTTTCAGATTTTTGATTTTTAGCAATGTAGATTTCGTAGATGATACATTTTTACAGTGTGTCTCGCCCTTGGCTCCGTAAACCATTTAAATATTTCTCTTGCCAGCCCTAACCATTTATCTTCTCTTTATTCACCCAGACTGTAGCAATAAAAAGGTGCTTAAAACCGTAAGGGATATTATAATAATGAAATTTTATTGAGAATTGAAAAAATATGCAAATGGACTTCTCAAATAAAAATATCCTTGCTAATAACCACATTGTGGACGAGGTTTTTATTGAACACATCTCGTCTTAGCTTATACAGTTATTGTTGGAATGCCACATAAAAATCACATGGAAATTATTTGTGCGAGAGATTGATTGCGGTGGTTATTCCAAAATATATTAAAATATGTATTTCACGTACTTGTTGAAGTATATACGTGAATACCTTCCCGAGAAAATAAAATTTAAAGAAGTGAAGGTAAAGATTCCATTTCTAAAAAATTAAATAAACACGACATTCTACATATTTATTGTCGGATTGGTAAATCTCTTCATGATCTAGCATTCCGTTTCGTTCTTTTCCTGCTATCGATTCCTAAGTCAACAAAGCTACTATGTATGTATCGCTGCCGGTTACAGCATCTAGGTAAACCTTTGCTTTTCCCACGGCCATCCCGAGTCTTGACTTAAACAATACAGGTTCACAACTCACTATTGATCATAGCTGTCCATTAGCCTGCGCTTCTCAACATGTTATTCGGCGCCGCAACTAATGTATCCTGCAGTATTAATGACCCCTTATGGTGATAATTTACCATTGTTTTGCATAATACTTCGTTTATTTGCACTCAGTCACATGTCAACTTAGAAAAGATTACGGGCAGTACGTTACCCCTACGCGCAAAAAAAGAACGGAATGCCATCCGCGGCCTTATTATTCCGAACGTGAGTAATGGCCGATACTAATTTTATTCGTATTGTTTAACAGAAGTATTGACAATTGGGTTTTAAACCGCTGATTAGAGGATTCCGCATTGGTAGATACGTATGAGTTGAAAAAAGGACACGCGGCAAGCATCTTGATGTTCCTCGACATCTTGCATACGCTGACGCGCACGTTGTGACAACTACTATTGTAAATCATAGGCGGCCTTTACATTTTATGGTTAGGTACTTACCAGACTTTATGAACATTATTATATATTATTATGTATTTTTTGTTCACTATTGTCGGGCTCAACATATTTATAAGTTTTATTTTTATTACCCCTAGATTGACAACTTTAAAACTATTAGAGTTAATAAGTCGATGGAGGATTTATTTTTATTGCTAATGAACACAAATTCTTTTCTGGGTAAGAAGCGTATAGTCTCGTACGCGCGTTTTCTATTATAACCTACTGAATACTACCACTTCCCATGCAGTTTTCAAATGGCTTCATAATTCTAACCGAATACCATTGAAGCACATCACAGGTTTCAATTTTTTAAATTATACTTGAGCCTGAGCTGTAAGAACCATTACTTGATCCAGAATGATTATACCTATATACAATATGTCTTAGTTTAATACTTCGTACAGTACGATTCTGGAGAACCCATGTTTCATTCCGAACAACGAATCGGGAAATCTTTCAGTGGAATCGTTCCAAAAAGCAAATTCCTGCTTGGGCAATGCTGGGTAATTTAATTAATCTGTTTGTTTACGCCTCTCACATTTACACGGTGAAAAACGGCCACTATTTTGTGTTTCATGGTTTTTTGTAAAAAAAATTAATAAAATCTACGTTTGTCTCAATTATAAACTTTTAAAATTTTTTTTAAATATCATTTCCCGATGCTGGGAATGTGGTCCAGCGTTGACTTGGAAATATTGAAACGCAGTAGGGCATTTTGTAAATCGGAAGATAAAGAAAAGCCATTCAAATAACGTTATTTGGTGTCAAACGCATTTTTTCATCAGGATTGTCCCTCTAAGCTCTATCCTAGAGCCTAAAAACCATGAAAAGTGTATCGAAAGCTCTGGTGAGATCCCCAATGAGTTCTGGAAATGGTCTAAACCGCCCTTCGGCGACACTCGACGTTTTTAAAAAGAGTTATAAAGATGTAACACCATAAACCTTTTCTTAAGCTCTCAAGAACCTTTTGTGCGCTCCCTAGAACTATATAAGCGTCGAAACCTCTGATACAGAAAAACTTGACAAAGCATTGCGAAGTGCCTAGAAAGTTCAAAAAGGAGTGTCTGTCAAAGATCCAGAAAAAATTGAATGAAGCGCGCCAGAGTGCCGTCCACTGTTTCCCAATCTCCTATGTTTAAGAGGTTGCCGGAAGCACCAACAGTTAATGCTTTCCAGAGCCTTCTAGCGCGTTATAGTCTACGAGTATATGCTCACATGCTTTAGGATACTAATTTTGATAACTAAAAATGATAATACAGACAAATTTTTCTTGCACTTTGTGTGGAACTGTAGATCATATCCATGTAACGGAACCCACTTATTAAAACAAAAAAGTAAAATTTTATGGAAAGCATCAATTGTGTAAGTTGTAATTATTTATTTTCTGCATTACGTAGAACTCGGTATTCTTACTTGTCGGGGAACCCCCGTAACATCTTTACAGGGGGCACCACCTGCCGCTGCAATTTATTCGCGAAGGCGCGCAGGTCCCCCAACACGTGTAAAATTTTTCACTCCCTTTTCGGTAATTATTTTTCGGTACGCCGATATAAAGTAGCTACCTGTTAAAGAAAAACTTTGCTATTTTTGGCGATTCATTCCGTTTAGTGTACTAATGTGTACTTATCTCGATTATGATACTTTTTTACGCAGCTCGCACGTCGTGGTAGTAGACGGCCATATTGATTATTGGCGTTATCTTCGTGCATTCTTTTAGGCTTCTGCCAGTTGAAGGTGGAACTGACGTATCTGTGAATTCGTTACTGTAATTTGATTGTTGTGCGAATTATTTTAAGAGGTAGGTTTGCCTACGTTAAAGAGGGAGTTATACGAGTGAGTTATTTTTAGGTTTTTTTTACAGTACCAGTATACTTAAGGTTATCGGGTGTGGGAAATCATTCCATCATTTACCCTGACACCTCCATCCATTGCGAGTTATATACAGAGTGTTCTTTTAAAGATGGGCCATGGAAAGTACACACCTAGCGTAACGCAATGTAAAGGCGTTGAGTTATTTAAAATGGGCCATAGGCAAATTTACTCCTCCATACCTTTTGGGATTAGATAAGGAATTCGGTCACGCATATACAGGGTGTTCCATAATATATACGCAGGACTTCAGGATAGCTCCTCCAAAAATTTGAAAAAAGTTTTTATTAACCTACCCTCTAAAATGCAATTTCTTGACCTGAAACGTTCCTCGTACACTAACGAAATGACAACTTGTCGTCTTTGATTCCAATTAAACGTCTGTTCGCAAAGGCTCATCTGAATTTTCGTATGCTATTATCACAGATGTAAATATACTATACAACTGTGCTATTATCCCTTCCTCGTCACTATAGCAATTTGATTACCCCATGCTTTTCTAAAATAAAAATTATTCTTAATGGTGGAATCTTCATGTTATAATATCACATCATACCAAAGTTTCCTAGGTTTGTAGACTGCGAAGCAACAACAATAGGAAACTCTGTAATATATATATAACTTCACGTCACCTTGGTAGATAAGATCTCAAAAATTAAGAGTTGGTTTATATTTTCTAGGTTTTTTTTTATCTTTTAAACGCAATTTCCCAGTATTACTCTCATGAATTAAAAATCAAATATTAAAGTGTTCTTGAAAACCGTCCTTCTACGAGCGTAATTGAATTACTAAAAAATACTAAAAGGGTCGCATTTGTACCCCAATATTAATTGACATTTGAATGTTTATCTGGGCACAATTTGTTATCTGCTGGCTGTTACTCTACCTTTTTAAAGCGACTACAGTCTAAAACGCTCGCAACCATACTTTTAGTTTTAACACTGCCTGTAAAATATAGTGAAATGCAGTAATAAATAACTTTTCAGAAGTTATAGCAATTGCACAATCACTAATATTCCTGGATAAAGAAGTTATTCTTTTCGTTTACGAGTCATCATATCAATCAAAGCTTTATGGACGTTCCGAGATTTATTAGCGATAAACGTAATTAAAAAATATTAAAAAAAGTATTATTACATTTACGTCACTACAGCCGGGGATATAATATTGTTGTAAACACTCCTTTCCCCACTTACTTTTATTTACATCTTGAACGTTTGCTGATGATTGCTCAGAAAAAATCCGCTAGTTGGTATTAGTTGTCAATTTTAATTATAGAAAATTCAAGTTGCGAATTTTGTCAAAATATACAAAGTAAAGTGAAATATGTCGTATGTTATAAATTTATAATTATTACAACGGTAGGTAATATTTCAAATTCTTTACTGTCAACCTGCAAAACTTGTTAATGTACTGTTGCGTTTTGAAATTTAGATTAGTCTTCATATACCTACTTGTACTTATTAACTACTTTTTTATGTTTCTTTTCATATAGTCAAGTGACTTTTACTTCTTGTAACATTAAGATTCTGCCGACGATCTTAAACTTGCAGCAACGTTGCTTATATTACGTATTTTATGTCCCAGGAAGCACAATATATCAAAAATTTGATTTGGTATGTACTGCAATTGCGCTTATGTAATTGCATTATAAATTATTCACACTTGAATCGACCAGTAGTTTCAAGGAAATGGGAACTTCCCTTTACAATCTTGGCATGCTACCCCTGTTAGACGAGGATGATTTGCCGAGACGTGTTCTTGTCAAACATTGTTCTGTACTTTATTGTTTGACAGGATACAACCGTCTTACTTCAAATTAATTAAATCAAGACTTCACGAAGTGATTTAGGGCCGGTTCTATAATTAGACCATCGAATTTCAGTTTAATTTGAATGCGATCGCTTCTGTTAATAGAACCAATCCGATGTGTAACCGTAAGAGACAGCTTGCCCTCTTAGTTTTCCCTTCTCTCTCACCTGCAGTATCCGTGCTACGCATTGGCAGCTCAGTCCATTTATTATATTATATGTCGATGAATTAGGTTTACGCAGAATAAGATATCCTTGGAATAACTGCCATAGAAACAAGTATCCCATTGGATGACGCAATGGGAACCAACACAGCCGTCGACAGCTTATGCTCGGTATATATCTGCATTGTAAAATCGGCCCTTTGAGCCGTGTCGATTTGGAGGAAGGTAATAGCAACATGTTTTCTGACTTGAGTTTCAAAGGCTCTTGACGGCCGTCAACCAGCAAAACCGACAGCAATGTGGCTTGTATTCGACAATTTTTCGACTCTGACCGGCGGCGATGAACTGAGTTTGTCGTCTAATGTTCTGTTTTGCATTGTTACCGAAGATTTAGAGATAATTTATTGTGCGCTAGGGTGTTATCAGACGACCAAAAGACCAGCAAGCAGAAATTTTACTTAAAAATTTACAACTCAGGCGTCAAACCATAAGCCTCAATTGAACATTGGGTCGAGTGACACATCATTGGAAAAGGCTTTTTATTTCTCACACGCCTATGTTTTCAAATTTGAGCGAGTCCATTGAAGGATACAGGGTGCCAAATGACAAATAATTCAAATAAATATTCAAGCTTTTACGTAAATGGGGGTCATTCAACCTTGATAATTTTGAAAATGAAATAACGACACCACAAAAATAAAGCCATTGACCTCTGATAAAAATGGAACATTACACCGCAAACAATTGCAGATCATTGAACTTTGATAACCTTGAAAATTAGATAAGATTAGTGAGGAGATTGATGACCTTGAAAATAAAAATACATGAACAAAAATGAGGGTTATTGACATTTGTTGACCTTGACTTTGAATATTACACCACAAAAAATGGCAGTTATTGCACTTTGATAACCTTCAAAATGAAATACAGCGCCACAAAAATAGTGTTTTTGCCTTCTAATGACCTTGCAAATGAAATATTACACAACAAAAAATGGTAGGTCTTTGGACTTTGATAACCTTGCAAATATAATACACCACAAAAATTGGGGTTATTGAGCTTTGAAATAAGATAAGATATGACAAGAATCCGGTAATTGGTCTTTGATGACATTGATATTAAAAATAGAATCAGTTACAAAATTGTCATTGGACCTTTCTTAACCTTGAGAATGGAATATTACACCCAAAAAAATGGAAACAATTGAACTTTGATAACCTTGAAAATGAAATACGACACCACAAAACTGAAAAAGAAATAACTTTGATTACCTTGAAATCATTGTAAAAAAATGATCTGAAATTGATCTTTAATTACCTTGGGAATAAAATGTGGCAACCTCGAAATATACACCACAAGAAACAGAGCCATTGATCTGTGATGACCTGACAATGGAATATTACACCGCAAAAAAATTGGAGGTTATTGAACTTTGATAGCCTTTGCAATACGACACCACAAACATAGGGCCGTTGACCTTGAAAATCAAATATGACTACAAAAATGAGAACTTTGACAGAACACTGACCTTGATGACCTTGTGAGTAGAGTGGCACCGCAAAAATGGTGTCATTGACCATTGGTAACATTGAAAGAGAAATATGATAATATAAACAAGTGGGGCGATTGGCCCCCGATGACCTTGAAAGCCTACTTTCCAAGGACATCGCCACGTGGAACGCATTTTTCACCTCAACCCACTTTTGAAGATGACCACCAGACCGCGAGTGACCTTGAAAGGTCGAGGTTCGGTATAGTATATCTCAGTGGCGCAACTAGTCTCCGGGAACAGGCAGGTACTGGATTGGTGAAAAAGGCGCCACTCACCACTGCTTACTTACCTTAAAAATGCAGTGCCATTTTTCTAGGTACTTACAGTAGCGTTGCTGTAATGATGATGGAACTTTCAGTATGTAGTGCTATTTATTAAGAAGTAGACATAGGGATTTATGTATATTGTTTTTCCCTATGTCTGTCTACTGTTGCAAAACAAAATCTCTTCTGAAGGGCGCCTAATTTCATACAACCAAAATGATTTCTTAAAACAAATTAAGATTGGCCGTCTCATTAATTAATTTGAATATCGTTGCGTTAGCTTCCTTATTTTTATTTTCGTTCGTGTGCGATGTATTCAACTGCGGAAATAGTTGATATTGTCAATTGGTATAGTGCCGGCAACAGTTTAAAGAGCGTAAGAGATTTGTTGGATTGGTTTTCTTTCACGATACTTAATTTCATTCATTTTGCAGGTTGTGATACAGATTCATTGCCATAGCAATTTTTTGAAATACATCTACTTTTCACATTTCCTTTATACAGTGAATGGCGAGATAGATGGATTTCGTTTATAAAAGAAGCGATGAATCGGTCTGTAGTAAAATGTATGTAATTTCAGTACTATCCCCCAAAAAATTAAATATATTGAATGTGTGTACGCCACTGCGCGTATGAACGTCCGCCATATTGAGAATCCTAATAGGATCCTAGCTAATACTACATAAGCTCCTTCCTTAGTCTTTTATTTCAATGATTCAAATTAATTAATATGACAGCCAGATGTTTATTTGTTTTAAAAAGTTATTTTGGATGCATAAAATTAGGCGCCCTTCAGAAGAGATTTTGTCTTTTGAAAGTAGGCATTTGATGTTAACATGGAAATATAAACGACTTTCAAAACGACGCCCTAATGATCACTTTAGAAATACTTTCAAAAAGGCGCCACAGTGCCAAAATTTCCCTAGGTGGGTGAGGGGACCCGGCTAACACCCCTTAGTTGCGCCTCTGGTATATCTACTGAACACGTTCATTACAAATATATATTAGCTACACAACACAATCCCGAAGAACCATAAACCATGAGTAATTACCCTTTATACTCTTAAAACCTTCTAAAGGCATCCTTAATATGAGCAACTGATGAATTAGATGATATGCCCTACGTTTTGTCTTCGTTTTATACTGGTACGACCTTATTTTAGTGAACCAGGCGTATTTATGTTACATAGGTAGTTTGTTGTATTTACCTAAGCCCTACAATCAAGTGTATCTTCCAAAGGAGTCGCTCGAATTTGAAAACTAAACCATAGGTGTGTAGGAAATTAAGAGCCCTTTCTAATGATGTAGCAGCGGTGTAAATTTTTGAATAAAAGATGATCCCTTTGTAACCAAAATCGACATGTTTTTGGGTTTTTTTCCAAAACTATTTTGTTACGAGTTATTCAGTCTGTTTCGTTGTCGTTGTGCCACCCTGTATAACTAAAAATTAATCGCCGAAATTTCTAAAAAAATTTACGGAAAGATGTAAAAAACAATTTTTCTTTTTTCCGTCATTTTAAATCGCCAGATACCAGATGGCGTCAAAGCGAGATCTACGATACTACGGCGCTAGACAAATTTTGTCAGATTGTACGGCTGATGGACAAGAATCCAAACTGTCGACGGTCAAATGTATCAATAAATTATGCATGCAGGTTTCTGATGTATTATAGTATTTTACATTATTAGCCAGGTAAGTGAGTTTTTACTGGCGATAGGAGAAGTTGAATGGCGAGCCGTCAGGCGAGCCTGCCATCTCCTAGAGCCAGTAAAAACTATTACCTGGCGTATAATGTACAATATTTTATTTGTTACTCATTTGCAAACGTAAATAATTAGTTCTTAAATTGATCTCGAAGAAATGTCTAAAATATCATATTATCCATGTAACAGAGATTTCGCATTAATTCTGGCCAATGAAATTACTAGATTACTAACTTGTAAAATTTTTACACGTCAGCTGTCAGTTTTACAAGTCAGTAGCGTTTAAAGATGACGTTTACCCGTTTGCGTTTTGTCTTGTTAATCAACGTTTACAACTGAGTAACAAATAAAAACATTTTCCGAAATTTTAACGGGAACGTGAACAGGATTTTATGTTT